AGCGGCACCGGGCTCATTCTGAAGTTTTCCAAATCCATCCACCCCAGGAACTGTAAGCTCTAAGAAAATGTCAGCAGAAAGAAAAGTACACAAGTTGCAAATAGCAGAGGGAGACAGTAAGCCTAACACAGATCAGTGACTCTGGGGACTTCACCCTGTGATGCCTCTACCATCAGCGGGGCTGTTTGTAATCACCTCGACATCCTGGACTTTGGCAAGTACATTATCTGTCACGGGTCCCCCTTTGGACCTTTCTAACCCCATTCAAAGCAGTTCTCAGGACAGTTCCTCACAGCGGTGGCCTCCTAGAGCCTCGTGACTCTGTCTGAATAAGCTCAGAGGTGCCGGGGAAAGAGAAGGTCCTAATAGCATCGTAGCTTCACGCTGCCACCGCTCCGTGCCAGGGGCCGAGAGACGCAGGGTCTCTACGTGTCTCACTTCCACATCCCCCCTTGGAAGACCAAGACGCTGCTTTTTCATAGTCTAAAATCCTGCTTTACTCCAGGAGCATTAGAATTCCTAGACTATGACAGAGTATCAGTGTGCGTCTGCTTGAAATGTCAAGAGAGTCTTTAATAATAACATGTGAGGAATGTTAAGATGGTGACAGAATACAGTAGAAGTCGGGAAATTCTTCGATTGGGGTGAAATGAGCCGTAGGTTGCCTACCCCCTGAGAGCTGGAGTCGGCCTTCAAGACCGAGCTGTGAAGGCCTGCGAATGACCACAGTTAGAGACAGTGGCTGGAAAATAGCTATTTGGTAAATACTCAGTTTGGTTAGAAGAATTTCATTTCTCCTCCTTCCAGTTGCCGCTTTCTTTTTCGGCTTGTTTTTCTCCTTTGGATCGTACGCCCGTAAGAGACCCCAGGTGACAAGATCCAGTCTTCCTCCGTCAGTTCTGTTGGGGCCGTCACTGTATGCAAACCTGCTGAGGAAGCCTAGACCGCCCCCCTGTAAGGCATGCTCAGTCCATGGAAGAGAGTGGTGTCTCCCCAACGTACCTCGTTAGACTTGGACCCTTGGGGTCTTTCTTAGAAGCACCTATTCCCTCATCTGTCCCCTGGAGGATTGGGCTCAGCAAGATTAGGTCAGATCCCCGTGAATCTGGGGATCACCACTCCACTAATCCGGACTCGCCGCCTCATAACCTGGGTAACACTGCACATTCCACCCTGCCCCCACTGCCCGCGGGTCTGCCTACGGAGGGCAGCATGGAGGCAGGGAGAGAGGCAGAGATCTGGGTTCCCAGGCAGTGTCCCAGGTGATGTCTGGGATCACAGCGGTGTAGGAAGGTCAGACCAAGCATCCTGTCACCGGGATTCTAGCCTTAGCGTTGCGCCTTCCCAGCTCCACGACCTCGGGTTAAGTTCTCCCCGTGAGCCTCAGTTTCCCCAGCTGTGAAACACGACACAAGGACCAGAAGACTTGACCTGGCCACAGCCGTCTGGGCTTCTGTGAAATCGAATGAGTGGCCGGGCCCCTTCTTCTCTCCATCCTCAGTAATTCCAGCATTTTTTCCCACATCCCAAATCCTTCGCTTATTTCAAGACTTCTTTTCTCACAAGTGAGAACCGCCAAATTGGGCTTAAAATGAGTAGTCCTCCTGACAGTGTAGAAAATGATTGTGTTCAGCGAACCCCAAACCGTGTTCCCTTTTCTCTGCTGAAAGGATGAACGTAATCTCCCTTAGTTTTTATCTTTGAAGGTGGCGCACGGGGCCCCTAGCCTTCGGCAGATATCAGCAAGTCTGGAGCGAGACCCCCGTTACGGTCTTGCCCAGTGTGGACTATCTAAAGCCTGACTTGAGGCCATGGGTAATAGAAAAGGGGACGGCCTATATCAGCCGAGGGGAGAAAAAGCATTTGCCTGGGACGAGGGACAGATAACAGTGAGGAGCAAGGAAGTAAATCCGTGAGAAATGGGCTTATCTTTCCCGCGCTTCTGGTTCCCTTCTTTAAAACATCAAAATGCTCTCCCCAGTTAGCCCAGCTGCAGACTCCATCGAACCCCTGTTATGTTGATCCAGATTCCTAACATATACTCAGCCAGTAGAAGTCTAGATGGACTTGACTGATTTAACTTTCCTATTAAAAAAAAAAAAAGGGAGAGAGAAGGAATTAGGTTTTTTTGAGCATTCTCAAAGCGCTAGGCTCTGTGCTAAGCTTGTTATGTGCAAGAATTTACTTAATCCTCAAAACAACTCTTGAAAGTTCAGAGATGATGATTCCATATTTAGAAGGGGAAACAAAATACTTGAAAAGGTTACATAATGTGCTCAGAGTCGCAGAGCCCCGATTCAAATCCATCGAAGTCTGCTTGTTGGGTCCACGTCCTTTTTAGCCCGTTTTTGACTCTGCTGTCATTCTGCAGAACGGGTGCACAAGCGTGCTAATGTAAACAAACGCTGCACAAGCAGCTCCCCTTAATGTGTGTCCCGCTGTCATTCCTTTTATGCTAGGTGGTACTCCTGTACCCACCGGGAAAGCTTTGAGAGGGTAATTCTCTCTTGATATCACAACATAAAAAGATGGGTAAATTTGTCAGCTGAATTTTTAGCTGACCTTCGGACTGAATTTCCCATCTTCCTTTGCTTGTCACGGGATTCAGTAGAGGGAATGCTGGAATCTATTTGCTAATATTAAATGTTTGTATTCCCATATTATAACAATGAAGGGATGCCGTGAAAATCGATGGGGATGGTGACATGGACGATGAATTCTAAGTAGTATTCACATGGGAAAATAAGAAAAGATTCCCTACGGCAGTAAACCACCAGGGTTATGGAGGTGGCTGGGTATACAAATTCTACATATGTGTTTGCCACGTGGTATTACCACCTTTGATCAGTGAAAGGTCAGCCTGGTAGACATTTGGAAGGAAGAGAGAGGTGATGGTTTCTTTTGGTGCTGGGAATTTGGATTTCCTTCTACTTGGTCTTTGTTATTGCTCCATCAACAGCGTTTATCCCCCAAATTAAGTCACAATTAATATTCATCAGACTCTTCAGTAAATATCACCTCCCACCCTTTAATTCGTAACGTTCAGTACAACAGACTACTTTTTGTTTTTTTCTTCTTTTTTTGCGGTACGCGGGCCTCTCACTGTTGTGGCCTCTCCCATCGCGGAGCACAGGCTCAGCGGCCATGGCTCACGGGCCCGGCCGCTCCGCGGCATGTGGGATCCTCCGGGACCAGGGCATGAACCCGTGTCCCCTGCATCGGCAGGCGGACTCTCAACCACCGCGCCACCAGGGAAGCCCACTTCTTGTTTTTAAAAAGCACGACATATATGCCTCCATTCCTTCTGCTCCACAGTAATTTTAAAACAAAACATGTTTCTTAATCTAAGAATGTTTTAGTTGTAACGTCGAAAAACTTAGGACACTTACATAAAAAAACAAATAACTAGAAAAATGCCATTGCTAACATTTTAATTGTTCTAACTGAGCCACTTTGGAAAACTAAATTCCTTTAGCATTATGTGTTCAGAGCATCTTTTAGTTTGGCTGTTCAATAACTGACTAAAGAACAGAGGGTGAATAACATAAAGTGGCTCCTAATATGGTATCATTTTCATTTCCTGTTTGTTGAAAGATAAATGCTAACACTGGAAGGCTTTTTTTCTTTCTTTCTTTCTTTCTTTCTTTCTTTCTTTCTTTCTTCTTAATTTATTCCTCCCTGAACCACAAGGGAATAAAAAGAAAAAAAAAAAAATCAAATGTGATATGGCTTGAGACTGAGTCATCCAGTTAGGATAAGCAGAAAGCTTTTTCTTTCTTGTTTTTGTACCCTTTCCCTTTTCTCTGCCTTGCCCCAATTCCTGAAACATACCCCTCCCTTAAAACACACTTTGCTTTAAAAATGT